AATTATAATCAATTTTTTTAATCATTTCACAAGGTGATAAACTTATAAGATACAAGAAAAAATATTATTAAATGGATGGGACAAGAGAACAGGATACAAAGAGGCAAATAATGACCATTGATAATGTATTTAAAATTTTTAAAGATCAATGTTGACTGGGAAGCAAGAAACCAAGAGAGAGTTCCACAAGTGAGAAGTGCTAGAGGAGAAACTGTTAGAATAGGTACTTCCACGAAATGTAAACAAAAAGAGCATAGCATGATGAAAAAGACGCCGAACTTGACGAAAACAAAATTTTATTGTCTAATGTTCATATCATTATTAAAGAGGAAAGATCAAAGTATTTTGGGGGTATTTTCTTACATTTTTTAATCGTTCCTAGCACATCCAAAATTTTCGTTAAAAATCTTGTTTTTTTTTTGTCAAAAAAAAAAAAAAAGAACAGATTTTCAATCATTTTTTTCCATTTTATAAAAAAGATGAAAATCTGACTTTGATATTTATGAATGTTATGGCTATTAGTGCTGGGTTGATTCTTTCACCTAAACATCGAAAAACTTGTTGAATTGCCTTCATCGCTGAAATAAATAGACAAAGAAAAGAAGGATACGGAGACACTAGAGGGACAGTTTAGGACACTGATTTTATTTCCTTCTTTTGGATTCCAACGACCTCTTGTTGGGGAATTTCCTTCCCGAACAGTTGGCATGTGTTCACCAGTCAAAGGTCCAACAGAGAAAGAAATAGATTCTTCTAGTTTATCTTTGGCGCCAGGAAATCTCTCTTTTTGCACATGCGTAAATTGTCTTTCCTGTCAGAGGACTCCTGGGAGATTTATGTTTATTTTATTTTGTATTTTTATTTAATTTTGTATTTTTATTTTATTTTGTATTTTTATTTTATCTTTGTACTTTTATTTTATTTTGTATTTTTATTTTATCCCCACATATTCTTTTAAAAATCAATTATCATTTTTTCAAAACTTATTTTAACAGAATCAGAAATTATAATGTTTATTTAACATATTTTGAACCAAGCTTAACTTAGCTTCTGTGCTGAAAAAGTGTAATTTGAAAATAAAACAAAGCAGGTCATAACCTTTCGCGTCTTTTGACAGGTGACGAAAGACATAGTCATGACGTTTAGATAACTTACGGGAGGATAATTCTTTCTATGGATAGAAGGAAGTGAAATTATTTAGATTTAAGTAAACAAATTATTTACCTTGTTACTTTTAAGGAAAACTTTCAGCGCTCTAATTTTTTAATTTTTTTTTTTTGTACTTAGCTTTCATCTTTACGTTTACGATGCTTTATGGAAAATACAAAGAAATTAAAAAATAAGACTGTTAAGAGTGAGATTAAATTTCATAAGAAAGGTATCTAATTAATTTATAGGTACCTTTCTTATGAAATTTTATCAGAAGTGTACATAAAGTACAATTATTTTATGTACATTTATTACATTTTACTGTGTTATTTGTATTTCCATTCATTTTATTATTAATTTTGATATTTCATTTATGGAAAAATGTCATTACTGAGATTGATATAAAAATAAGATCATATAAATTAAAGTTTAGCAGTAGTTAAATTTCATAAGATGATACTGATACTTGTAGGTACCATTCTCAGTTGAAATTGAAAAATCAAATTAACTTCTCCATATGTGTTTCGCAAAAGTAAAGGCTTTAACAGCGGAGAACAATGCTGAACTCAAATAATGCAACTAAATTGTATTCTGGTTGGTCTTCCGTACTTTATAATTACCGCCCGATTATAAACACAAAAATTACATTTCTTAATTACTGCGAATCTTCTGATTGGTCCAAATGATACAATTTTCAAAGCGCGAGACAATGACAATCTCATAAGGACACTTAGAAAGGTTGATGTCGCTTTTAACTAATGTTATAATATTTTTAAAAAACTTAATGCAAAAATCTATTATAATCAAAGAAATAACAAATAATTGTATTAAAAATTCAATTTTCATTGAAAAAAGTTTTTGCTTTCAGAAAATATTGTCCATATTCATAAAAACAACTAAAAACAAATAAAAGCATTTGAAATTAAATAATATATTTGTTTTATTGAGTTTTGTATGTTACAATTCAGAGCTGATTTTCAGGTACTGCATCTCCAATTAAAAAAACAAAAAAAAAACATGATTTGCATTCTTCAAAGCCTTGTGCTTTTAACTATTGTAATCACTAAGGTTGATGCGCTTGAATTTCTTGAGTCTTTCATAAAATTAGTTATGGGAGTGTTAATAAATATAAGAAAAAATATTTCTGCCATGACTTTAATAAAAAAAACATATTTATAATAATTTTGATCATCTGTGAATAGTTTCTGAAAGTTTCATTAACATCTGACAATTATTTTTATTTTTGCAAGATTTTCCAAATTAATGTGTGTAATACAAAAAAACGTGCTAAAAATTATCTATGTTATTTACTAGCCCCTGTTGGTACAAAGAAAAACAAGGTTTTTTTAATCAAAATTTAGAATGTTCTAAAAAGAAGGAAAATTTTTTAAAAATAATTAAAAAAACTTTGGTCTTTCTTCTTCATAAAAACACAAGCATTTAGACGATAAAATTTTGTTTTCATAAAGTTTGGCGTCTTTTTCATCAGACTATGCTCTTTTTTTTTTGAGTGATTTCGTGGAAGGTAATATCTACCAATTTCAACTATAAAATAATAAGACCTAGCTGCCAGTTTAGTACTGTGCTCAAATATGTAAGTCAGGGTACCAAAAAGTAAAGCACATCAGAACAATTACCATGAAAATAGTTATAAGAGACTGAAGAAAGCTGTTACAACAGGAGAAAAATGGCTGAAGTTGAAATGTCAGATCAGAACCAATAAATTTGCAGATTCTTCTTTGGATTTTGATAAAGTAATTCCAAAGAACATTGAATATTTTTGTATTTATTCATCTTTAAAATAAATCAATTTGCTTCTTTATATCAGGTCATCCCATAAGTTCTGTCCAAATTTTAACTTTTTTTAAAATGAACGAAATTTAAAGAGTATTTTATAATGTCTAATGGAGCTGAACATTATTTTTATGTTTAGATGCATTTAAACTGATCAAATTTTATTTCAGAGAACAATAAAATTAAATTTTGTTTGATTAAAACCCTGCTAACATGGAAGTACCCAAAAATCATTTGAGGCACATAATGCTTAATAAGTTCAAGAAATGAAACTCAGCAACCGAAGCGCTTGAAACATTCACTCAGTTTATGGAGAGGAATGTGTGAATGAAAGAACTTGCAAAAGATGGTTTGCAAAATTGTGAGGTGGAGATTTCACCCTTGAAGATGAAGATCGAACCGGACGTCCAGTTGAGTTTGATGAAAAACTTCTTGAAGCAGCCCTTGAAGAAAATTCTGCTTTATCAGTTGAGGAATTGGCAGTGGTTCTCAGTTCAAACCATACAACTGTTCATCGTCATCTTCAACAACTTGAAAAAGTTCCTAAACTTGGAAAATGGGTGCCTCATGAATTGTCTGAAAACAATCTCAAATCCCAAGTTGACATCTGCTCTTCTCTCCATTCTCGCCAACTTGTTTCACCATTTTAGGATAGACTTGTGACTGGCGATGAAAAATGGATCTTTTATCGAAATGTTAAGCTTTGTAGACAGTGGCTTGGTAAAGGGGAAGGACCCCAGCCACAGCCAAGAAGGGAACTTCATGGGCAAAAGGTTCTTCTTTCAATCTGGTGGGATCACTAAGGAATAATCCACTTTGAATTCTTACCACCTAATGCAACAATTAATGCTCAAACATACTGTCAGCAATTAGAGCGTTTGAACCAAGCTTTGAGGAAAAAAGACCTGCTCTAGTGAATTGAAAAGAGGTAATGTTTCATCAGGACAATGCGCGACCCCACACAGCAAGAATCACGTCACAAAAGATCGAAGAACTTGGTTGGAAGAAAATTCCTCATCCACCTTATTCTCCTGATCTTGCTCCTTCAGACTACCATTTGTTTCGTAGCTTACAGAATCATTTTGAAGAAACAGCTTTTGTAACACAGGAAGAGGTTAAAACTGACATTTGTGAGTTCTTCGAATCAAAGCCAAAAGAATTTTACAGTAATGGAATTAGTAAGCTTGCTAATAGATGGAAGGAAGTCATAGATAATCAAGGAAAATACATTGTTGATTGAATCTGTAATTAAATGTAACATTTGGTCACTTGTTTTCTTTATTCAAAATTCGGACAGAACTTATGAGATGACCTGATAAATAGGCAATGTGTTTGTCTTCCATTTGTATCATTCATATCATCATTAAAATAAATCAATTTGCTTCTTTATAAATAGGCAATGTGTTTGTCTTCCATTTGCATAATTCATATCATCTTTAAAATAAATCAATTTGCTTCTTTATAAATAGGCAATGTGTTTGTCTTCCATTTGTATCATTCATATCATCTTTAAAATAAATCAATTTGCTTCTTTATAAATAGGCAATGTGTTTGTCTTCCATTTGTATCATTCATATCATCTTTAAAATAAATCAATTTGCTTCTTTATAAATAGGCAATGTGTTTGTCTTCCATTTGCATAATTCATATCATCTTTAAAATAAATCAATTTGCTTCTTTATAAATAGGCAATGTGTTTGTCTTCCATTTGTATCATTCATATCATCTTTAAAATAAATCAATTTGCTTCTTTATAAATAGGCAATGTGTGTGTCTTCAATTTGTATAATTCATATCATCTTTAAAATAAATCAATTTGCTTCTTTATAAATAGGCAATGTGTTTGTCTTCCATTTGTATCATTCATATCATCTTTAAAATAAATCAATTTGCTTCCATTTGTATTATTGAAACAATGAAGTCAGTAAAAACTAAAACATGAAGAACCACACTTTCTGGTTTCTCATTCCAGTATTTATCATCAACCTGTATGTGCTTCAAAGCTTCTTTGACCTTTCAAGACAATAAAATAAAAATAAATAAAAAAATCTCTGTACCTGCACCAAACCATAGAACACAGTCAGGAACTGAGCAGGAATATGACCTTTCCATAGGGATCTAATTCCTTCTTCATGTAACATTGAAGAGAAGACATGGGAAAAGCCAAAATACTTGGACTTTGGAGACTTTCTTGATACTGGCTCCACTTGCAACTAAACAAAATACACAAAGATAAAATGAAGCAAATATTAAGAAAAAAAAACAAATACTTTCTTTAAGTTATGAAAACCTAAAAACCCAAATGTCTTTAAACATTCACTGTATCAGTATGAATATTTACATTTGGACTGATGTCCTCATCTTTTTTATTATCACAACGTTTCGACCATTGTGTCTTCTTCAGGTGTCTGACCAGAGGACACAATGGCTGAAATATTATGATCATAACAACAAAATGAGGATATTAGCCTTAATGTAAATAATGATAACTCTTCATTCCAGAAATTTATACAAAAAGAAAAATCATACAAAATCCTTTTTTATAAAATGTCAAAGTGGATAAATCCAAAAATAAATGCCTGTAAAGTGTGGAGAACTCTTAATATATCAGTTTTCACTTTATCTGTAAAGAATTTTTTATTCACATTTTCAGCAGAATTTTTTTTATTATTCACGTTTTCTGTAGAGGATTTTTAATCACTTTTTCAGTAGAGGATTTTTTTTATTCAATTTTTCAGCAGAGGAATTTTTTTATTCAATTTTTCAGTAGAAAATTTTTTATTCAATTTTTCAGCAAAGGATTTTTTTCCATCAAAAATGATTTTTACAATTGCCTTCATCCTCTTAAATGTCACTTTTTCAGTTATGATGATTATTTAAATTTGCCAGTTTCACCTGATAAAATAAATGTCCAAAATTTAGGGCCTGGACAAAATAATGAAACCACTTTGGTTAATGGAAGTTTTTTTATTTAATACGAAGTTGGATCATCTTTGACATTAATCACAGCTTTAATACATCAAGGAATTGACTTATACAAGTTCTAAATGGTTATTTAGAGAATTTTGAGCCATTCTTTAAAGTTTCTTTTAGCTTTTTCAGCAACAATGGAAGAGGAGAGTGGTTCCTCACTCACTGCTTCAAAATGCACCATAAATGTTTAATTATATTGAGATCTAGTAATTGTGGTGATCATCCAAGGGGCCTAATTCACTTTTGTTCTCTTCATACCAATTTTGAATAACATTAACCATGTAAATTGGTGCATTATCATTCTGGAAGATTGCATAACCATCAGGGAACAATGTTTGTATGATAGGATGGTCATGATTAGCCAAGATACTCAGATAATCCTTGATGTTAACTGCCATGGAGAGCAACTAAAGAGATGAGAGAATTCTGTGGTATTGCTGTCCAAATCATCACAGAGCCACCTCCATGCTTCAAGACAGGGACTAAGTTGTCAGGGTTGAAGGCATTGGGGGGGGGGAGGCTGTCTTTGGACATAAATTCATCCTGAAGTAGGCAAAAAGGGTAAATTATGATTCATCAGAGACAACTGCAGTGTTCCATTGTGTCATTGACCGTTTCTGACAGTTGATACCATTTTTGCCACTTATAAGTCTTGGTTTGGTTTGGTTTGTTTTATAGCATATCAACCTTAATGGCTTATTTAATGCTGACAAGATTTTTATTGCGGGTAATATTTTTTTTTCAAAAATATATTGCTGGTAATAATCTTTTTTTTTCCAAAATGTATTGCCGGTAATAATTTTTAAAAATCATTGCTGGTAATAATTTGAAAAAAAAATCTATTCCTTGTATTAAAACCTATTTTTACATTTTCATAGTATTTTGACCCCAGTTTATGGGTTAACTATTTGCCCATAGCTAGGACCCTAACAGCTGCTACCACTCCAAGTAAGGGTGGACCTGGGAACACCAGCAATTAAGAGGCGGTTCCATGCTCCTTAAAACCTCCTGATTAGAGGCCTTGCTGTTGAATGTAGTTTATTGTCTTACCCAGGATGCCTTATCAGTATTGATGGGTGGGGGGGATAAGAGAGGTTTAGCAATTGCAGCTGTCCCATGGTATCCAGCTTCATGGAAATCACCACAATAAACAGTTTTAGTTGCCAAGGTAAGTGGTTTTGCACTACTGTCACTGTCATTGCTATCCATTTATAGTTTTTAGACACAATAAGTTCCACTATTCTGTAGCTTATCTCTGAGCTTTCCATCCAGAAATATACTTGCCAGAGATGGTTTTACCTTGGTTTTGGAATGCCCACATGATTTTAGAGATTTTACCTCATGAAACATATCATGCTATAGTGGTGTGGGGCTTAAGGGTTAAAATAAACAGGTGATTTACCAACACCATGAAGATTAATGAAGGATGATAATAACAAGGAAGCACACAGGTAACTTTAACAAAACAAGATAAGTAATTTATTCACAAATTTATACACTTGAAATAGTGTCAGCAGCTCATTCCAGGAAAATAAATCAGAATTCATAAAGTCCATAGTTTTAATGTATTGTCATGAAGAGGAAATGTTCATACAACAGATTAAATGATCTGACACAAAATAATATTCAAAAATGTTAAGAGAGTTTGTTGCTCACCGAAGAGATAAATGGTTTGCATAAATTCAAAAATAAAGATAAAGGGATAATTTGAAATAATTAGCTTTCTTGGGTTGTTGAGACAAAATTCTTTGAAGTGCTTCATGCTCATTAGAGACTGATAATATAATTGGTGAGTAATTTTACACTGGTGAGAATTTCAATGCAGGTCACCAGGAACTGAAACAAAACCTTTAACATGACTTCAGACACTCTTCAATTTAATTTTTCTCCTCATTTTATATCAAAAGGAATTTCAAGTAAGCTTGCTACTGTCTTTCCTTCTTGGCTGACTGGCTAATTTCTGTGAAGGCAGGATTTTTATTGGCCCAAACACAATTTCACATAGGCTTGCTAATTTCTTTCCTTCTTGTTCATAGTTAATTTCTGTGAAAGGCAAAAATCTCACATAGGCTTGCAAATTCCACAGTCCTCCACATCTGAAGGGAGTTATTATTATTTCACACTCACTGCAATGTAATATCATGAAATACAAGGTATACATAATGCATAACACATATATACAGGCAAGAACATTTTGAATTTTTCATTTTGCCAATAGGATTAAATAGTTCAATAAAATGTGGGGGCTCCATTAATTTGTCCAATACCTGTATCTACATTATATATAAAAAAAAAGTAACTTTTATATTTCAATCAGTAACTTTGCAATCTCCATCATTGAATATTTCAATAGTAATCCAACTTCTATTCATAAGTCTTTTCATCTTGAACAGAATTTGATGAAAGTATCATTTAATGCTTCATACTGTTATTTTTATTTTTCAAAAAGGAAATAAACATTTTAAACTTTCAGCAAAGGCAAATATTCAACTAGGGCAAGCAGCACATGGCCATAGACAATGATATGTTCATATATCTTTAATACTGTGAAAATAAGACACAATTATAATATAACAATGCCACTGTAGTGAGTCCTGATAAAATATAAAAATAAAATATATAAACAAAAAATAAAAAGAATTCAAATTAAAATAAGGCATTTCTACAGACTGCTATCAATATCCCCCTTATAAACAAACTTTTTGCTACACCAAAGGGCTCACTCATCTCTTTAAAGAAAATAAATAAAAAATATATTATTTATTTTATTCACAAAATTTCTGTAAGGTAGCAGCGAGACGACGTGTATCTGCCAAGCTACTCGTTGCCGTGAATGTCTTGTTTAAGTAGCCCACTCTCGCCTCTCATGTAAGCGGGCGAGTCTACTTCTATGGGGGTGTGACGCCAAGACCATTCCGGTCTTGTAACTGGGCGTCTTAGGTTCGATTCCACCTCTACAATTTCCAATAAAATAATTAACCTACCACCTATCCACACTGGCAACGTTCAAGATGTGAACACATTGCCACATCACTATTAACTTTTCCTGTTGACAGGCATCTCCAACAGTCCAAATTTTCTCTACACATGTGATGTTCCAGATTTTGATCTGGGGAAGTATCAGGCAAAACTAGTTAAAACATTCAAAGAAGCAAAAGAGGCAAGTTATGCTCAATGTAAACAAACAATATGGCATGGAAAAAAATCGTAAGATAAGGAAGAATGCAGTTATATAAGTAAATTTCAATTTCACCTGTTGGATATCTAAATTCAAATTTGTAAGGTGTCATCCATATCAGACACACTCACAAGGATAGAGGATATGAGTTCAAATCTCATCATAGGCAACTGTTTCTTGTTTTTTTTAAATTTTCAATTCATGTTGTATACTTAACATTCATAGAATGTAAAATAAAAAAATAATTATATATTATTTTATTGAAATAAAATGGAAAATATTCATTTTTATCGCCCGTAAAATTACAGAAAAAACGTGTTAGTATAAATGGATTATGGTGATAGTATTTGCGATAAAAATTATGTATTTTTATAAATTGAACCCCCCCACACACACACACACACACACATACACCACTTTCAAAAATTAGTATTCTGACATTTACTCAATGAAATACTAATTTTGGGAAGCAAGTTAGACATGTGCATTATCCCACTCGACTTTCCTAAAAAAAAAACTTTGCTAGGAGGTGCTCCTTAAGCCTATAGACACTAGACAGGCAATAATATTCTCAGTCACTCTCTTTACTTTTTTTTTTTTACAACTCTGGCTATAAGATGTAGTCAAACGTGGGAAAAAAAAGTGTCATCCACTGGAGCATATTCAATGTTTCACTTTTCCTACATGACTTTTTGTGCTCTTTCACACTTGTGTCTATCACATAGTCTATACAAATTTCACACACACACATTCTCTAATTTAAACACTTTTTGAAACTAGTCTTTGAATGATTTCTTCTTTTATTATAATTGTAATACTTTTGTTAATACATTCATTGTGGTTTGTTTTATATTGTTTTGTGTTACTCATTTATTACTTGGACTCGCATTTGAGTCCACATTAATTGTTATGTGAAAAATAATACCAAGAGACATGTGTTTTCTACATAAACACAACAAGCATTCCCATTACAGACAGATGACTTTTCAGGAAGACATTGTTTTTATGCATATTGTAGTCAACTATACAATACAAAACAAGTGAATAAAAAGAAATTTCCAGAAGCCATACCTGCAATCTGATCTTAATAACATCCAAAGGCTGCAACATAGCTCTAGATATGGCCCCAGAAATGGCTCCAGCAGTGGCATAGTCGGAATATTTCAAGTTACGTTTGCTCTGGGGATCAAATCCAACCATTTAAAGGTTAAAAAGGTAAAAGATGAAGAAAAATCTGAAGGCAAAAAAAAGAGAAAACTATTTATGGTTACAATTAAATACTCGATAAGCAAAAAGATTATATGTCAAATGCTTAATAAAAATTACAGTCAAGAAATCAGATTCACTTCACAATTCATCACCCACAAGGCTGTGTAAATGCTTTTGAACTCTGTCAAGACTGGAAAGTGAGGATTGAGCAGCTCTGAGCTAGTCACGGCAGCAATGTACACTGAAGAGTTGAGAAAATTAGCAAAAACATGAAATTTTGAAGACAAGATTAAAGAGATGCTGAGAAATATTATGTTGTATTTGAGATTCCAAAGAAATCTAGAGAAAGGAATTCAACTTTTGAGAATATTACTGATATTTCTACAAGAGCGCAGAGAACGAGGTATTTAGCATGAAAGAGAATCTGTTGAATAAACAGTCTTTAAGTTCAGGAAAAGGTGCTGGATAAAAATTGTTTTAAACACAGATCAAAAGACCACTTTGGAAATGCTTAGAAGAACTCCAGCAAAATTGGAAAACTTTGTTTCAGATATAGATTGAGAAAACATGATATAGAAGTCAATGGTTTCAAGAATTAAGTCTTTTTCATGTTGGAACAATAAAGAATTACAAGTAGTGAAATTTTATTTTTAATATATCTAAAGACCTTTAATGCAGGCATAGAGATCTTGAGAAACCATAAACAATGGGACTAAATTTATTTTGGTAGCTCAATTAGCAACAAAGTTAATAAAAACAGAAAATTGTAATCTCCTATGCTATTGCACAAATCACCAAATCTAACAGTGTATAACTCAAGATGCAAGTTTCAAACAAGTCAAAAATCATTATAAAAATGTGATGTCATATAGGTAGTCTTGAAGTAAAAGAAAGATAATGCTAATGCTAATGGAATCCATAATTCTTAGATCAGACCAGCCTAAACATTGGAAAAAGTTTCTTCTCAAGAATAAAATCGTAAAAATAACACAGAAGGGCAAATTTGACCAATCATAAGTTTCATTTCAATAGCCATTACCTTGCACATTCTTCCTATAATTAATGAAAGATCAAATTGCAACTGAGGAAATGGTTGCAGCTACCATTTCACCAGGTGGAGCTGATAAACATCCAAATGTTAAACGTCAGGAGAGTATGCAATGTTATCGATGCTCTGGGTGGAATCACCTTTCCAGGGACTGCCCGGTTTGACGAGAAGATGGCCATCAGCCACACGGGTCACGCACAACAATACATTGCTTCCGGTGTCAAGAAGTAGGCCACATTGCTTCATTGTGTCCAGGGAAAAAAGTCAGTGATTTTGGCTGCCACGTTGGTTGGCGAGGGAGTTATTTTTCTGACTGGTTGCGTGCATTGTGATTTGTGAAATAGTACTTGCGAATCGAGTTTTCGGCATTTTCTTTCTGTCCCTGAACTGTCTGAACTTAGTGATTCATTCTCGGCAACATGGAAATAATCTGTGACAAACATTTCCTTTGCAATCCCAGATCGCTTACAATACTTCATAGCATAATGGAGATGAAGCTATTTTTTTTATCTATAGTACCTCAATGAAAACCCTATATTTACGCTACATAAAAATAGCCAGAAGTGCAATTTGGCAGTAGGGCAAAAACAAGTAAAAAAACATACCATACTGAACTTGCCATAAAAGTATCCATTTAAGGTACAAGCTAGAAACTTAAAAGAAACTTTTACTACTTTTGGGATGAGGAATTCTACAAAACCGCTCTTTTCATTGTAATATATGTATCTTATTCTGATATGGTTAATATTTCTGGAACACTCCATATCTCACCATCACTTGAAACTGACATTACATCAAAGTCCCATCTAAAGACAAATGTTGATTCCACTTTGCAATATCATCTGCCAAAGGTTATCAGAAATAATAACTTCTGCTCTTTGTTGGAGCTAAAAACGTCATGTAAAAAGTTGGAATCATAATATACTGCAACGCATTGGCCTTGGCACTCGTAACTGAAGGTCACCTGAGGTGATCCTTCTTCATCATTACTACAAGTGTTTAAATACTTAAAATCACTGAGTGCCTTTTCTTCTTTTATCCTTTGTCTTAGAGGTGGAGATGAATCAACTGATTTTCCTGTTGGCAAGTAGTTGCAAAGAGCAGCTTCCAGATGAGATTTACTTCTACTGATGTTAATCTTGATACCTAAAAGAACCTTCAGATATCTAAGTTGATCTTTCAGTGCCTCCAAATCACTGCTTGCTTTGTACATCTTTAATAGACTTCACAAGACCACCATGCTTGATGACTGAATTAATGATTCTCTGCTTCTCAGCAGCAGCTTGACACTCCTTTTTCCTTTTTTTGCTTCTCAATTTTAGCAATCCTTTCCTGTACTACATGAAATTTCAGAAATACTTCTTGTTGCTTGTGTCTTTGTTGCAGATGTTTTGCATGCTTTCTTGAAATGACAAGAACTGATTGCCACTCAGCTGCTGATTTTACTTCCAGCCAAGCTGTAGTCTGGTTGCGCTTGAGCATGTTTAAATACTTAAAATCACTGAGTGCCTTTTTCTTTTTTCCTTTGTTGTAGAAATGGAGATGAATCAACTGATTTTCTAGTTGCAAAAAGTTGCTCCAACCAAGATTTACTTCCACTGCTGTAGATCTTGACACCTAAGAAAACCTTTAGATCAATTAATTTAATAAAATTCAAAAAACATATTGGTTGTGAGTTGGCACTTGCATTATTTAAAATATTTAATTTTACAAATGGCACAAAAAATCTACATTTATTTTTTTAAAAATGTACTTGTTATTTTCATTGTAATTCTGAAATTCCTCCAGTTGCTGATTGAAATAAAAATAAGATGTTTTAAGAATTGAAAAATGTAAAGTTTAATACTAAACTTTCAAGTGCTAACATTAGAAGGCTTCTGTGGTTATAACAGCTCGCATGTTTTAAGCCCAAAAAATAAGTATTATTTTTTACAAAATCCCTTCAGCTGTTACTCAGTAATTTACTTTGAGACAAATACTGGATTTTTAAGAGATTTTTACATTTATTCTAATTTTCATTTGTCGTTAAGAATGCAAATTTGGTGAGTGTCTGCAGCAAAGTTTTTAAAATGTCTTAAATGTTAAAAACCTTATTAAAATACATACAGCTGTTTATTTTTTTTAAATTAGTTTTAGGCTGTCATCTTTCAAATGATAACCAAATTTAAGTTCAAAGGGAAGATTTAAATTATTCAAAATTTCCTTCAGTAAGCTTGTGACAATTAGGTACCTCCACAGAAATGTGATACCTAAGGATTAAAAACTTCTAAAAATGAAAAATCTTTCTTGAAGCTTTTATTTCAGTTTTAACTTCACATTAATAGATTAAATTTAATATTTCCAATAAGCAAAATATCTTGATTTGTTTTAAAACTAATTTAAATTAATTGATTTTAGCGCCATTTTTGGCCATCTGTCATTGCAATGTAATTCTCTTTGTTAAAAATCTTTCAAAAATAAAATAATACTTTTCCGAAATAGAATATTAGCTGAGTTTTATTAACACGATTTGAAACAAATATTACTTACTGTAAGTTTAAAATATCACAGAAATACAGATATATGTGTTTATTTCAGGTGATAACAGTTTGACAGCATGACTGTCAGAGAGAAATTTATCTAATTTTTTCCTTTGGTGGACGTATCTGTAAAAATTACTTAAGGAATAAAATGTGAGTACCTTTCTTATATAATTTTTAACTACCCAGTAATCTTTAAAATTTAGGAAAATATTTTCTGTAATCTAATGTTTTATTGAATTTTCAGTAATTTTGCTTTAAATTTACAATAATTATCACTCTTATTTTCTGATAATGTTGGGTATGGATGCTCATACTTAAAAAATTGACACATTTATACACACAAAAAAATAATTCAAAATTCTTTTTAAAATATTGAGGTGTCAATGAATTGTAATAAGCTTTTCTATTTACGATTAGTAAATATACAACCCGTAGTGCCAATCCTGGTCTATGGCAACCAAATATAGCCTGTTAGGCCAGGTTCAATTCTAGGTTTGACCTTCTCAGTTAATCCCACACCAGGCAGTCACCATCGTAGTTTAAATGATATTGGTTGCTGTCCACATCGGTCCACCTCACCCTGCCCACATTGTGTTCTTGATTACAGGGTTAGCAGAATCAATTATGGAGGCAATTGATGCATTAAGTCAAACCTCACCAAACTGGCTATGTTGTAAAAAAATAAAGGAAAACAGACACTTAGGTTAACTTTTGATTTGGTTTTATATAGTTTTCAGTGTACAAAAATTAATCCTTCCGACTAACATCTCTTCAGTGACATTTTTGTCTATTGGTCCTAATTTCTTTGAACAGGCATCAAAGTCAGAATCTCTTTCAGCAGTAGTTCATGCAGGCTCTGGCAGCATCTTCGTCTCTCATCTGCTCTCTCCAGAACTGCTTCAACTACTACTCATTTGGTCACTTCAGTACTCTGCTATATTGACTATTACTTAAGATCATCATGGGAGCTGAAATGTTTGGGGATTTGGGATTTCCCCTGTCTTCCAACAAGAGTTCTTTGTTGTCTGGCTTTGGAAAATTAATTATCTCTCCAAATTTTTTCCTATGAGCAGTGGTCACAGGTACTGGCCTGCCCATATAACTCATACCTTCTCTCATTTATGCCTCACACCATTACTTCTCAGTGGGTATAGACAATTCCTCCAGCTCTCTTAGTACCTCATCTAAGCCTTTCAGCTTGGTTGTCATTTTGACAAATCTGATTTTTACATCCCATGGGCAAAAGGGCAGTCTTTACTTTTAGTCATTAATTATAATTACCTTTAATTTCAACAACAAATTTTCTCAGCCTCTGGTCTTGTTTGTGCAAT